ATATATATATATATATATATATATATATATATGAATGATAGTCAAGCTAGCTAACCATTTTGAGTCCAGGTGAGGAAACATAAGTGTGGTTTTGATTCTTCCAACTTTTCCATATGTATGAAAATTTTCTCACATGTACTTTTATAAATGGTTTCAATTTTGTCTATTTTTGTTAATATTTTATAATATTTTATGGAAAGCCCACCAGAGAAGATCACTCAGACACAGTTTTAGCCAACTGAAAGACTTTATTCCAGTTGTCTGGGACTACACTCGGGTATTTGTGATCTAAGTATAGCTCCAAGTGTTTAGAGTAAGGGCCTACTAAAAGCAAAAACTACATTCTGTTATTTTGTTCAACAGCTGCAGGGGAAGCTTTTGCACAAGCAGGCAGTTTAACAGAAGCCAAGACAAGAGGCTAGCTGAAAGGAGTGGTTTGCACATGCAGGCAGTTTGACAGAAGCCATGACAAATTAGCAAGGGCATCTTGACCTCTGGTTCACAGACTAGAGTTGGGTAATTTTCCACAAAATATGAGATGGAGGAGACTGCACTGTCTTGCCCTGTCACAAATGTATTTTATCTTAATCTCTGGGCAGAGAGCATAAATTACATCACTTTACCTTTGAAAGCTACATGTGTTTTAACTTCTGTAAAGAGTACTTATTCACTAACAGCTGTGTTTTTGACGTCTCTGTACAAAAGCTTAAGGAATGGATTAGGAATGAAAATGTTTTCATGTACCTTTTCATCCAGCAGATTTTATCCAGAAGTATTTGAATTTAACACTGGAGGATTGCATGAGGCTTTTCTTAACTATCTGCAATACAACTTGCCTTTTATATCAGTTACAGTAATGCCAGTAAAAGCAAGAACACTGTAAAAGCTACTTTACAAAAAATGAAACAAATACTCTTAAGGACTTATATTTATTATAACCATTTCCACAAGTTTGGCTAGTTCTGTGCTCATCATTAACAAACTATGCAGAAATAAACATCCAGTCTAAAATCACAGGAGCCCCAGGATGTTAATGATGACAAAGAAGATACTACAGATAATCCTAGTTCCAGTAACTACTCGTTCTAGATTGACTGAATAGTGTTTGGTTAAGTTTGTAGAATTAACAAAAAGAGAGTAAGTCAAGAACAGTCTGAACAGAGTGTCTGAACAATAGACTTCCTGCACTCTCATTCTCAAACGGTGTTTTGGCATGAAGAGTACATGAATATTCAGATGTTGACCAAATCCTAGAGCAAATTAAAGTCCTTCCTACATTCTTTTAAGTTACAATCTTGCCAATATGAGTTCTCTGATGAGCAGTAAAATTTCCAGACAAAGGCATGCCCACTTTCCTTATATGCATAGGACTTCTGATGAACATGGACTTTCTGATATTGTATAAGCTCACCATTTACGATAAGGGCTTTCCCACAGTCTTTACATCTATGGGGTCTCAGATCTATATGGACTCTTTGATGAGCTTTGAGAACTGAGCTAATTCTATATGTGTTCTCACATTCCTCTGCAGTCAGTGTTTGACACTAGCATGGATTATTTTATTATAAAGAAGGCTTGAGGTCTAATTAAAGGTCTTTCCACATTATTTACAGTGATAAGGGTTTCATACCAGTATGAACTCTCCAATGTGTAGTAAAGGCTGAACTAAATCTAAACATTTTCCACTTTTCTTTCACAGGGTTTTGTGTGAGCCAAAGTTACATTTCAAGTTTTAATTACTGTGCCTAAAAGATCCATAGAACAAAAATGCTGCTAACCTATAAGTCCCTTGCCCAAGGTCAAATACTTACTGAAATACTGAAGGCTATTGTTTATGGGCAATAACAAGCCACATTTTCATTCCCCTTAACAAGTCTGCTTGCCCCAACTACACCAGATATGCTTGATTACAGTTGGAGAGGAAGTACACGAGAAGGAAATATATTAGGATGTACCCTGGTCCCTGATTTGATATGTAGGCAGGAGGTACACAGGTAGAAAATAAGTCAGATTATGTGCTTGCCCATGCTTGTACCTGGTGGAAAATACAGCAGCCTTGTGGGGTTGCTTTTCTAAGTCCCCACCAGGTGGGACTTATGGTTATTTCTGGAAACTCAAAGCTGGACCTGGCCAGAGAGTCCATCACCTAGCCAGTATTTACTTAAAGCTTATTTCAAATTTGGCTTGAAACTGTGGTGTGCTCTTATTCTCCAACAGTGGGATTAATATTTTCTTTCCAGTATGAATTCAGCCAGCTTAGAATTACTGAAGGTCTTTCCAGACACCTTACATCATAACGTTTCTTATTAATATGGATTTTAGCACATCAAACCAAGCTTGATTTTGAACTTTAAGGCCTTCCCACATTCTTAACACTGGTATGGTTTCTCACCAGTGTGAATTCTTTGATGTACTTTAAGGTCTCCACCACGAGCAAAGTACTTCCCACATTCTTTACATTCATAAGGTTTCTTACCAGTATGAATTCTAAAATGTCCGAGAAATTGGTAATGATATTGAAAACCTTCTCCACATTCTTTACATTGAAAGGGCCTCTCACCAGTATGGATTCTTTCATGGATTCTAAGAGCTGTACCACGAACAAATCCCTTTCCACATTCCTTGCACTGAAATGGTTTCACATCATTATGAATTCTCTGATGTTGAGTAAGTTGGTACTGAAGTCTGAAGGCTGACCCACACTGATCACATTCAAATGCCTTCTCTCCAGTATGAATAGTCTGGTGCCGTGTGAGCTGTGCCAGAACAGTGAAGGCCTTCCCACAGTCCTTACACCGAAAGGGTCTCTCACCAGAATGAATTTTCTGATGTTGCATGAGGTTTGAGCGACGATTAAAGGTTTTCCCACACTCATTACATTCATAGGGTTTCACAGCAGCATGAATAACCCTATGTTCCAAAAGGCTGCAGACACGCTTGAAGGACTTCCCACATTCTTTACATTCAAAAGGTGTCTGACCTGTATGAATGGTTTTATGGTAATTAAGCTGGCTGGAAAAATGAAAGCCTTTTCCACATTCATTACATTCAAATGGTCTCTTACCACTATGAAAACTCTGATGTCGAATGAGGTGTATATTAAGTCTAAAGACCTTCCCACATTCTTTACACTCAAAGGGTTTCTTTCCAGTGTGAATACTCTGATGCTCAGTAAAATTTGATCGTCGACGAAAGAATTTCCCACATTCCTTGCACTGATAGGGTTTCACATTGGTATGAATTTTCTGATGTTCACTAAGTTGGTACTTACGTCTGAAGGCTGACTCACACAGCTTACACTTGAAAGGTTTCTCATCAGTGTGAGTTTTCTGGTGCTCATTAAGGTATACCTGAAGCCTAAAAGCTTTCCCACATGCATTACATTCAAAGGGTTTCTCACCTGTATGAATACTCTGGTGTCGTACAAGGTAAGAACCACTACTAAATATCTTCCCACAATGCTTACATTCAAATTTCTCTGAAGTATGAATGTTCTGGTGTTGACTGAGCTGAGCCAGAACAGTGAAGGCCTTTCCACATTCCTTACACTGGAAGGGTCTCTCACCAGAATGAATTTTCTGATGTTGCATAAGGTATGAGCGACGTTTAAAGGCTTTCCCACACTCACTACATTCATAGGGTTTCACACCAGCGTGAATAGTCCTATGTTCAACAAGGTGGGAGAAACGCTTGAAGGACTTCCCACATTCTTCACATTCAAAAGGTTTTTCACCTGTATGAATGGTTTTATGGTATTTAAGCAAGCCAGAAAGATGAAAAGCCTTTCCACATTCGTTACATTTGAAAGGTTTCTCACCACTGTGGGATTTTTGATGTCTTGTAAGCAGCTGGGGGAGTCTGAAGGCCTTCCCACACTCCGTACATTCATAGGGCTTCTCTCCAGTATGAATACTCTGATGCTGAGTAAGAGTTGAACTACAATCGAAGCACTTCCCACACTCTTTACATTCATATGCTTTTTCTATGTTGTGAGCAAGAGTCTGGCAGGTATAAGTAGGCATTTCTTCCTTGTTAGTAACCTTTTCATCCGCATCTCCTTCTTGATAACCCTGTAGTCCATGGAATGTATGACAGTTGGGGCTATCACTAAAAGTAGACTCTTTGAGGTCAAAAGTTTTACTGAATTGCTTTATGCTCGGTTTGTGTAAATTTATATCAGAAATATGATTCTCTGGAGATATATTTTCAGCTTCAAAACATGTCTCCACATCTGAAAGAAAAGCAAAAAGGAAGAATACTTTATTTTCCTGTAATATGCTCACATATTCCACTAAAGGAATGGCCAGACTCTAAAGTCCTTTCTAAGAACAAGAGCAAGGAGGGCAGCAGTAAGCAAAGTTTATGTAAGACAATGCACTTTACAGTAGAACAGGTTACAAATAGGAATATATTTGCTTAATGAGATTATGACAGACTAGAGTGAAATAATTTTATGTGCCTCTTTGTATCCTACTGGAAATACATACTCTTTGTTGAAGGTTTCGAACCTTTGGGATGTGACAAGTAGCTCTAACCTGATGGCACTATGTTATTGTCCACTTGGAAATGAACTGTTTGATCTCTATGCTACTGGAAAGGAGGGATATGCCCTCAGGGTCCTGGGTCATTCCCCTTTGTGACCACTGCATATTTACTGAAAAAAAAAAAATCAGACCATACTATCCAAGCACAAACACCTTGTCTGAGAGCTTTGGCTGCAGCTGAACTTGCTATATGTCAATCAACTATGTTAACCTTTGAGTCATCTATTAATGTTTTCTCTTCTCACCCCGTCCCACCTTCTAACATATGAACTGTAGAGAGAAAAATTATAGATACTGGGTATATAGAATTCTTTTTAGACATATAAACTGTTCTTTAGGCTTTCTTTATAAAGACATGGAGAAACTGAGCCATGAATCAAGTTAGGAATGTGGAAAGACCAGTCACCATTACTGGAACTGGCCTATCGCAAAGAGAAAGGAAAGAATGCAAGTGAACTAGGAGGAACCAAGCTGGGAACCAAGCTGGTAACTGCAGTGACAGGGAAAGGCCGAAGTAACAGGGCAGGACCACGTTCTTGAGAAAGATAAGCGTACAGAGAGTTTTCACATGACCCTGACTCCCGTAGGTTGGGTTCCTTTGGAATGTTCCACTATTTTTATGTTACACCACCCTAGCAACCCCTCACCCCCTCCCCATTCCTTGGTTTGTGGTTTTTCCCCTTAAAAACCCCTCTCAAACTGGCTGTCGGGGTCAATTCAGCTCCTGCGTGGGCATACGAATTGACCGTCAGCTAGCTGTCACGCCCTAATAAACCTCACAATTGCTCTGGTACAAGGTGTCTCGAGCAGATTACTGGGTGGTCGCGACTTTCTGAGACTTGAGTGAGGGTCTTCAGAATGTCTCCCAACACCATTCCCTTAGAGTTCTCTCTTTTGAGATCGCTTTGGTGAAGGATGCAACACTTACCTTTCAGCAATGGCCACCTCTTAACATTTCAAGTCTCCTCCCTCAAACAGTCTTGGACTCCTCCCCATCTCATTCTTGTATTGAGAATACAAAAGAGTTTTTACCTCATCCTATACACAGACATGAGGAAGTGCTACCCTAGGCCACTTATACATGGTATACAGATGGTGGCTCCTTGAAGGCATACATAAAGCAGGATATGCAACTGTTTCAGACACCCTAGTGGTTGAAGTACAGGCCCTTTCAGCCCAAACTAAAAACCAACAGGCCAAATTAATAGCTTTCGCCTGATCCTTTTAGCAAAGGGACAATCCCTAAACCTTCCTAGGACTCCAAGTATGTTCTTCACATTTTCTTGTCACATGCAGCTAAGTTGGAAGGCACGAGCTACGGACAACAAAAGGAGGATCTATGACCAATTCTGACCAATCATGGTCCTGCTGGAAGCTTCCAATCTCCACATGGTCGTGGGAACTGGTCACTGCCGACCACACCAAGCAGACATTTCTGTTATCTTCAAGGGAAATAACCAAGCTGATGAGGTGGCTAGGGCTGCAGCTCTCCACAGCCTGGGTCTCTCTCACATCTCAAGCACTCATTTTACAGCCTACATTCTCATCATCATCCCTACATACTCAACAAACTTCATCCTATCTCTACTGTTAAGGCCCAGGGAGAATGTTAAGGACTAGGTAACTGTTACCTGTCTAGCCTGCCATTTTGTGCTGTTACTAATGTTATAAGGAAACTTTCTCATGTGTTTCCTAGTAACAACTAGGAAACTTTATCATGCCCAGGCTGATTACATATTCTGTTATCCTCTGTGCTCTTGGAAACCAATCACACTGGAAGTCAGTAGAACTGCTTTGTATAGCCCAATAAGCTTAGACCCAAACCAGCTACCCAGCAGCACTTCCTACACACATATATGAGCTTTTATGGGTTTTGCTTTTATAAGCTGCCACTGGGATGGACTCCAATGTCAAAGAGACACCTGTACCAATATAAGAAGCTATTTGAAATAAGACTTCCATTTTGAGTAGGGGTTGAATAAAATTTAAGTTCCTAAGACCTCCCTGGGAATTGACATCCTACTGGCAAAAAAAGACATGGTCCTGCTGGAAGCTTCCCATCTTCCCATGGACGTGGGAGCTGGTCACTACTGACCACACCAAGTGGACATTTCTGCTATCTCCAAGGAAAATAACCAAGCGGACATCCTGGTCGGCAAGTCAGGACATGAATGTTAGACAAGTCCCCTGCCACAGTTGAATGGAGGAGGACACGTGTCCAACAAAGATATGTTCCTAAGGAAATCCCCTATCCCTAAATCCTGATTGGTGGAATACCTTGGTACAGATATTTATAGATCACAGGCTTAAAAGATCTATAGGATTTTAGCTAAGGGTGACAGCTAGCTCCTGAGTCTGGACTATGGCCTTGATCGATCAGTCCTGGGGTGAATTCTCAGTAAACTATCCCTGACTGACTGAGATCAGTGTTTGTGTGGTTTGTGGGTCCACTCCTGAGCCCCAAAAGTACTAGTACACCTTTCACCCTAATAGCCAGGTTTTGTCTTACTTTATTAAAACTTATTTACAGCCTATCTCTGAGGCCCTGTCCTTTATAAAGACTGCTGGGTGGTGGTAGCACATGCCATTAACTCCAGCACTCAGGAGGCAGAGGCAGGTGGCTCACAGGCCTGGTCTATGGAGAGAGAGAGAGAGAGAGAGAGAGAGAGAGAGAGAGAGAGAGAGAGATCGCCAGACAGCCAGCCAGGGCTACATGGAGAAATGCTCTCTCGAGAAACCAACAGAAAAGTACCACTGCTAATAATTTTGCCAAACTTCTAATCCTACCTCCAGGCATCGGAGTCTCCTTTCCACATTCATCAAGCCAGGGGCTCCCTCCTGAGTGGCACTGGCAGCTCAGCTTCACCCACATGCCCACGGTTAGAGATCTCATATAACCTTTTGGTCCTAGTATACACATTCTCAGGATGGGTAGGAGCTTTCCCTATCACTTATAAAAGATCACAGACAGTTTCTGATCTCCTTCTTAGGGAGATCATCCCATTTCAAAGTTACAACCTCCCTTCAATTAGACGATGGCCATGAATTTACCTCTCAAACTTCTCAAACGTTAGTCGAAGCCCTTAACATTCCATGATGCTTTTATATCCCTTACCATCCCCAGTCTTCAGACAAGGTCAAATGCTGCTGCAGGATATGTGATCACACTGTGAAACCCCAAGTGTGAACTGGAAGAACCTGTTGTGGTGTGTCTCAGCCCTAGCACACACCTTTTATCCAAGAGCTCTCTGTTTACTGTAAACAGGTTGTTGTAGTGTGGCTCAGCCCTAGCACGGACCTTTAATTTTTTTTTTTTAGGTTAATTATTTATTTATGTATATGAAAACACTGTAGCTATCTTCAGACACACCAGAAGAGGGCATCAGATCCCATTACAGATGATTGTGAGCCAGCATGTGGTTGCTGGGAATTGAACTCAGGACCTCTGGCAGAGCAGTCAGTGCTCTTAACCTCTGAGCCATCTCTCCAGCCCAGGCCTCCCTTTCTTAATCTTACTAATCACACAGTCTCATGAACTTCTTTCTAGGTTTCTTCAACAACAGATGCAGAACATTTATAAACAGATGTTTAATCAATGGCTATTAAAGGCTCACTTGCTCCTCCCTGTGAGGTCCGAGGCCTGCAGCACCTAAGTGTACTCTCACGATGAAGCTCACCCTTGCCTCAAGGACGCCAATACCCCATCCAACAAGAAATAGTCTAATGATGACGCCACCCCCATCCAAACCAATTGCTTCTTAGTAATAAAAACGGGGGTTAGGGGGAAAATGTAGGTAAAAAGGACATCGAAAGAACAGCCTGACCCTGACTCGCCTCCCACCCCAGGGCCAAGGAGTGTGGTTGTTCCTCAAGAAGGTGAGAATCTTTCTTAAAGACACAGAACTGAAGCATTTGGCATGCCTCCCTGTGGTACAGCTTTCACTGGGGCTGAAACTGTCCTAGCTTTGGTTCAGTGTCAACAACACTGACAGCTCTGCCAGGGGCCCTGGGTTAGAGTACCAGCAGTCACCTGTGACTCCAGCCCAGGGAGCTGACTCTCTCTATGGCCTCTGTGGATACCTGCACACATGTGGGCACACACACACAACCACTAATGAGATACTTGTAAAGGATACAGAGAGGCACCTGCTCCAGTGGGAGGAAGAAAATGAGAACTTAAAGTGACTCATGACACAGCAGCCCCTCTGACAGTTTCTGCTCTGACCTTGACTTCCTTCCCAGGGCTCAGGCTTCTTTCCCACAGGCCCTGGGGCTTTGAAGGAAGTTTGCCACATCCAGTGTCAGCTCTGTGGAGCCTCTCTGACCACATGCAGTGCCTGGCAGGGCTGCAGGCTCACCTCACTCTTACTCACCTGGGCTCAGCCTGTCTGTTTCTTCCTTCACAGCCATCCAGGGCTCTTTCTCCTGCTCTAGTAAGGTGATCAGATCTGGCTTGGAAATGCAGCTTCCCACTTAAAAGAAAGAAAAAACAATGACTCATAGTGCAGATTTTTTTTTTCCCTTTGGGACTCAGTCTAATTACCCAAGGATGTCCTGGAAAGTGATATGTAGACTAGGCTTACCTTGATCTCCATGCCTGTGCCTCCCAAATGCTGGAATTTAAAGTGAGTACCCTAAAAGTCAGGTAGCGGTCCACTTTAATCCCAGAATTTGGGTAGATCTCTGTTTTAGGCCTGTCTGACACACAGAGTAAGTTTCAGAACTGCCAGGACTACACAGTGAAACTTTATCTCGACAACAACAACAACAAAAAGAAACAAATAAAAAAAAATGTATTCGATCATGACCCCCAGTGTAGATTTTTAAAATTACAAACTTAGTTATTATAAAGGTCTACATGGCTTGGAACATGGATCATGCTATAAACTCAGATGGTGGTGATGAACCAGACCAAGAACCTTATCTTTTTTTTTTTTTTTTTTGGTTTTTCGAGACAGGGTTTCTCTTTATAGTCCGGGCTGTCCTGGAACTCACTCTGTAGACCAGGCTGGCCTCGAATTCAGAAATCCGCCTGCCTCTGCCTCCCAAGTGCTGGGATTAAAGGCGTGCGCCACCACCGCCCGGCCAAGAACCTTATCTTATGGAAACATATATATGTGTATGTGTGTGTGTGTGTGTGTGTGTGTGTGTGTGTATTTTTAAATTCCAAATAATACTAAGGAAAGACTTCAGAGAAAGAGGAAAAGGCAACTTGGGTAAGAATCCAGCTGTTTCAGAAAAGGGTTTTAATCTCCTTTAAATGCAGATAGGGGCTGGTCAGTTAAGAGGAAAGCATGGCTGAGTAAGGAGAACATGAACTGTAGGCTACACTGTCTAGTGTACACCCCATCTCTGCAGCTCACTAAGAATGCCATTCATTTAGGCAAGTTCCATAGGATTCTGTGCTCAATTTTCCATCTAAACACTGCATGGTTGTGCACACTTGAGGAACGGAAGTTAGCAGATAAGAAGTTCATGGCCAGATTTAGTGTCATGGCAAGTCCAAAGCCAGGCTGCACTATATGAGACCTGGCCTCATAAAACCCCAAATAATAAAAATAGCAATGTTAACAATAATTCAGATGGAGCTTATACTATCTGTTGGATAGAGTTCATATTAAAATTAAATACTGTAGCCGGGCGGTGGTGGCGCACACCTTTAATCCCAGCACTTGGGAGGCAGAGGCAGGCGAATTTCTGAGTTCGAGGCCAGCCTGGTCTACAGAGTGAGTTCCAGGACAGCCAGGGCTACACAGAGAAACCCTGTCTCGAAAAACTAAAAATAAATAAATAAATAAATAAAAATAATAATAAAATAAAATAAACCTAATGGGGCACTACAGCCTGACTTGCCTACTCCAGCTGCCATTCCGGTAAATGCATATAAGATTATTATAGATTTAGAAGTTTTTCATACCGTTCCTTTATATCCTGGTAAAGGTGAGAGGTTTATACTAAGTGAATTTGCTTGTAATTCTTGAGAGCCCATGAAGGATGTCATTAGAAAGGTTTGCCTCAAGGAATGGTTACATTATATAAAAAATTTGTTGTTGCTTTAATACAAAAAGTTAAGCATTTGAATCTCTCAATGTATATTATTCACTGTATGTTTTATTGACTGATCTCTCTAAAGGAATTTTTCCGCAAGCCTTTGCTCTCGTATAGTGAGCTTTAAAATTTTGGAGTGCTTGTTGCTCCAGAAAAGATTCAAAGGCAGTATCTTTTCAATATTTGGGACCTCAGTTATATCTTAAGCAGATTGTGGCACAGAAAATTCCAATAAGAATGGATAATTGTGGCTGGAGAGATGGCTCAGCTGTTAAAGGCTAGACTCACAATAAAAATATTAGAGTTCAATTCTCAGCAACCACATGGTGGCTCACAACCATTTGTAGTGGGATCTAGTGCCCTCTTCTGGCTTGCAGGTGTACATACAAAAAAAATAAGTTTACTTTCAATGGTTTTCAGAAGTTGTTAGGAGATATTAATTGGCTAAAACCTCATCTTAAGCTTACCATACCTCTGTTTGATATTCTCAAGGGTGATGCAAGTCCTAATTCCCCTTGACAATTAACTGATGAAGGAGGAATGGCTCTGTAGAAAGTAGAGTAAGCTGTTAGTTATCAAAAGATAAATTATATAGACTATGATCAATTGTTGGCTGTTTGAGTTATTGCTACTCATGTGCTCACAACAGCCCTTTGGCAAAAAGAAACCATTAATGTAGATTCATCTACAAGTAAAGTTTGAACATCTTATTATGAAACTATTACAGTGTTAATACAAGATTATAAGATAGAATCCTGAAAGTATTTTGGATGAAATGTTTATTCCTTATTCCAAATAGAAATTAAATTGGTTATTGGAGAATAATGATATTTGGCCTATTACATGGTAAACTTTTTAGACAAATTTGATAATCATTATCCATAAGACAAATTGTTACACTTTTCCTCTATGCATGCTTTTGTATTTCCTGTAAATTTGCATGCAGCCCATAGAAAAGATGTTTACTGTATTTACAGATGCCTCTTATTGAGAAGGCAGTATATGTAATTATATCACATGTTCACTCTCGAGTTTCCCCCTGCTTCAGCACAAATAATTGAGCTACGTGCTGTAGCCACTGTTTGAAATGCTGAAAAATCAAGCTTTCAATTTATATACTCATAGCCAGTATATGGCTCATGGTTTGTAATTGCTTGAAATTGTTCCTTTTTTAGATATTGCTAATTCTCAAAGTTTACAGTTATTTATGCAAATACAGCTTAATTTAAGAAACATGTAATGTTTCTTTTTTTGTTTGTTTGGTTTTTTTGTTTCTTTTCGAGACAGGGTTTCTCTGTGTAGCCCTGGCTGTCCTGGAACTCACTCTGTAGACCAGGCTGGCCTCGAACTCAGAAATCCACCTGCCTCTGCTTCCCAAGTGCTGGGATGAAAGGCGTGCACCACCACTGCCTGGTACTGTTTCTTAACTTTATAAGACATTCAAGAGTTCATATTGGATTGCCCAGGGTAATCAATGCCAGAGCAGATTTATATACCAGCCAAATTATAGACCTTACAGAAACAATTGGCCATACAGTTTTATTCTTTACATCATCAAAATAATAGCTTGAGACGATAATTTGGCATTTCTAGAAAGTGTGCAAGTTAAATTGCAAAAACTTGTTCTTTGTGTCCTCAAATTTTTCATAATGGTGTTGAGCCTTGAGGACTTATATGTAATCAATTATGGCAAATGGATGTTACTCAGTTTTGATTTTGGAAAATTAAAATAGGTACATGTGACTTGACACCCTTTTAGGCTTTCTAGTTACAAATGCCTTAACAAGAGAAGCAACTAAAAATAATTAGTTATTGCCTACATTATTTTTCTATGCTTGGTGTTCCATATCAGATTATAGACAATGGAACTGGCCATTGCAGTTAAACATTTGAGATGTTTTGTTGACACTTTCATATTATCCTTATTACTGAGATTCCTTATCCTCAAGGACAAGGAATTGTGAAAGAGAGATTATGGAACTTTAAAATAATATCTTGATAACTCTCTGAGTGTGGGAGGAGCAGCTACTGATGCTTCTTCCCTGGTTTTGCAAGGAACTCTGAAAAACTGGCTTTTAAAAACTAAAAAGGGGGAATTATACCCCCCCCAAGGTCACCAAAAGCACATCTTGCTTTTGTGTTATTTGTTTTGAATTTTCTGCAAACTGATGCTAAGGGTCGGTCTGCAGCAGATCGCCACTGGCATCCAGTCACTTCCAGCTCATTTGCCAGGGTCATGTGGAGAGACCCCTTAACTAATACATGGAATGGTCCCAACCCTGTTTTAATTTGGGGTTGTGGCTCAGTCTGCATTTTCTCAGAAAAAGAAGATGGAGCCCAATGGCTGCCTGAAAGATTGGTCCGTCAAGTGAACACAGATCTCGAGCCTAATAATTGTGATTCTGATGATGAAGATGGCTCGAAGTCCTTATCAGCCAGATGATTTAACCTGGCATATAGTCTCCACTCTTATTGGAGAGTAAGATTTTTATCAATACTTAAAGCCACCCACTATATACCTGGTGGCCAGACTTGTGTTTGATCCCTGTCAACCGGCAGTTGGATTAGATGCTGGAATAGTTCTGCTTTCAACCTTAATTTCCACATTGCTTGGATAATCATGTTGCTTTTAACCTTGAACCTTGTATTTTAAGCAGATTGATGTCCCTCACACAGGATCGCTCTCAGCAACCTCAGCTTTCATCATGGCAGTTACACATCACTGTGAAGAATTGGATCTAATGCATGCCCACAGGTCCTTTGGTCTGAATGTGGCTTTGGTCTATTTGGGAAAGTGTGTGCAACAAAGGCCGGTTAGTCAAAGACGGGTAAGAGTGTCTTGAGCTCCTATAAACCTAAGGAAGAGGCTTACATCAATATGCTATGTCTGTTCCTCAAAGACGGGTAATATAGGAGCAATATAGATGCCAACCTAAGCCAGGCACGGTCGCCCGGCCACTCTGTACCCCAGATGGGATGAAATATTGTACCCTATCCAGCTGCTGGCACTACTCATATTTTATAAAACAAAAAAGGGGGAATTGTGTCCTTCCCCCTGCCTTGAGCAGGCCTGAAAGACCTTGTTTACCATAATAGACCAAATAACAGGATCTAGGTGGAACTACCCACCTTGGCTGCATGACAACAGACACCTAGGTGGAGTTACCCACCTTGGCTGCCCGTACAGCCTGCTACAGGAACTTCCTGCTGAGCTTGCCTTGAGACATCTCTGTCCATTATCTGTGACCAAGAACAGATTATTCCACCCATTTCTCCTGGCTGAAACTAAGAAGGGTTCGGGTGGGGTCTTTCCCTTTAAATTGAGAGCTGAACATTAAAGCATTGAGCCTTGATCAGAGAACTTTGTCTTGCTTCATCTTTTCTCGCCCTCCGTCCCTCTTTCGTTCCCAGTCCCCTTTCGGGTGAACCCGGTTGACTCATGGCCGCAGGCGGCTACAGCCCACGATTATATTTACTGATTTATTTACTTATTTCATTTAGACAGTTTGTTTTGTTTGAAACAGGGACTAACAGGTAGACTAGGCTAGCCTGGAACTCACTATGTATCTGACAGACCTGGAACTCACAGCAATCTTCTCACAGCAGCCTTCTGAGTGAAGGAATGACAGGTATGGGTCACCAAACCCGACTTCAACTGAACATTAAAAGACGACCATGACTTTTAATTCACAGTTAAGAAAGCCAAAAGTGTAGAGGACATTCATGGGGCACAGGCCTTACCCACTGCTAAGAGGTTGCTGTAGGTCTCCAACATCGTGTCCCTGTATAAGATCTTCTGAGTAGCATCCAGGAAGGCCCACTCCTCCTGAGAGAAGTCAACAGCCACATCCCTAAATGTCACTGACCCCTGAAAGAGCAAACACAGGGAGAGTGAAATTGGGGAAGCTTTCAAGATGGAAAAACAGAAGGGAAAGGACTCAAGCGTGGGAAGGGAGCCATAAGGAAATGCTCAAGGCACCTGACTGCACGACTCCCCATAAATGACGGCTGTGCCCACCTACATATCCAGTAACTGTGCCTCTCCACTCCATCCACATCCTTCAGGTTATCCCCCACAAAGGAGACATGTCACTGGGGTCAGGGTAAAATACACAAGGAATGCTGTGAGTCCTTGAGTTTATCATACTATCACATGATATCATTCAGTCAATGTGTCTCAGGTCTTCCCTGACTCTGGAGACTTCAATCACCTCCCTATCACAGTCAGGGTGACCTTTCCCTCTGATACCTGAACTCCCTCCTAAAGCCTCCTCAAGCAGGTCACCTTGTCACACACATGCACAAGGGACATTCACTCTCACACCCTGGGTCATCAGCCTGACAGCACCACAGATGACAATCAGGTTTCCCAGTGCAGTCAATGAGACCATCACCTCAAAGCTCTGAAGCCCCAACAATCCCTGTTTCCCTGTGAGACTGACGCCTCTGCTGCAGTGACAGTCCTCCCTCACCACAGACCAAGCAGAGAGCACATGTGCAGGAATGCATTCAAAGACAACATCAGTACCAGCTGGGAAGAGGCTCAGACAGGAAGTGCTCAGACCTGCCAACCCTCACTGTGAAGGGGCAGACCAGGATGAGGGGATTCTGGATCCTTGGGAAGCTTCAAGAGGGAAGGACAAGAAGGAGTCACCTAACCTGAATGTCCCCCTATGTCAAGGAGAGACACACAACTTACACAGACCATGTGTTGAGAATTTGAGCTGGCCATTTTTCTTCAGGCTTCCTCCCCTGGGGACAAAAAGAAAGCCTTTCATTGGATTGTGACTTGATGTTCCCAGACTGACTTTGTCACTGTGATTTCTTTCTTTTTTCTTTTCTTTTTTTTTTTGTTTTTTGTTTTTGTTTGTTTGGTTTTTGGTTTTTCAAAGGGTTTCTCTTTATAGCCCTGGCTGTCCTGGAACTCACTCTGTAGACCAGGCTGGCCTCAAACTCAGAAATCTGCCTGCTTCTGCCTCCCTAGTGCTGGGATGAAAGGCGTGCGCCACCACCGCCCAGCTTGTCACTGTGATTTCAACAACTACATTTCTTTCTCCAGCATCCACACTCACTCTCTCCCCTCCCACCGCTCACAGCCTCCCACACACAGATCAGAAGCACACAGGAGTCTACACAAAGACCATCCTCTCCTAACCCCAGACAACCCATGGCAAAGGGGTCAGTGTGGGAGTGCAGAGCTAAACATGTCTGCCTTGAACTTCCTCCAGAAGATGCCAGCACAAGGGACCCAGCTTCCACCCGACATCCAGCTAGCCCTGCACCTGGGCTGCTCCTCCTACTGTGAGCAGACCTTCCTACTGGAACCCCACCTATCAAGGCTCACAGGGGCTCACAGCATCCAAATGGCACCTCCTTTGTAAACTCAGGGCTGAAGCACAGCAAGGCTGGAGGGGCTGCAGCTGCAATGCTCAGGCAGGGTCCAGCCTTCTGTCCCCACTCTCAGTAAATGGGACTGTGCACCATGGAACGCTTTCCTGAGAGCCTTCGCTCAGCTATGATAACACTTGTATCAATTAAGCCATGATCCTTTATGAAGATAATCAACTGTACTTAGACATGGTAGTAGAGGACTATAATTCCAGATGCAGAGACAAGAAACTTGTTCAACGCCCCAGGCCAAATGTGCTCTCTGTGAGTTCTAGGGCAGCCTCTATCCGTGTTGCTGGAAAACTGAGTATGAACATTCACAAGAATGACATCCTAATGTCTTCTGTCACACCACATACAAAGGTCAACTCAAAACAGAAAAAAAAAATTAAAGTTGAAACCGACAGAAAAAAATATACAGGAAAGCTTCCAGGATGGTGGACATATTGAATATTACTCTAAAAACACGGTCAACAAAAGCAAAACGGACACATGAGATTTACATCAAACTGAAAACCTTTACACCACAAAGGAAACAATCAACAGAGCCCAGGATCGGGAGAGGATAATTGTAAACTGTACATCTGACCAGGAGGGAACATCTAAACTCCTGCACAGCGACTTTATAAGGAGTGCAGCCAAGTCAGTGACAAGGAAACTTCCTAATTAAGAGACAGGCAAGGGCTGGAGAGATAGCTCAGTGGTTAAGAGCACTGACTGCTCTGCCAAAGGTCCTGAGTTCAATTCCCAGCAACCACATGGCAGCTCACAACCATCTGTAATGGGATCCAATGTACTCTTCTGGTGTGTGTCTGAAGACAGCTGCAGTGTGCTCATATGAATAAAAAATAAATCTTTACCAGAAAGAAAGAAAGAAAGAAAGAAAGAAAGAAAGAAAGAAAGAAAGAAAGGGAGGGAGGGAGGGAGGGAGGGAGGGAGGGAGGAAGGAAGGAAGGAAGGAAGGAAGGAAGGAAGGAAGGAAGGAAGGAAGAAAGAAAAAGCTGGAAATAGACACTTGCCCACACAGAACATCAGTATGGCCTATCAGAGATACAAGAAAACTAAGAATCAGAGAGAGAGTTAAAATCACAATCAGAGGCCTTCTCATGCCCGTCATGAGTGTCCATTACCAGGGGGCTACAGAAACAGCCCAGTGGTTTTAGGTGACTTAATGTTCTTGCAGAAGACCTGGGTTCAATTCCCAGGACTCACATGGTGGCTCCCAAACAGCCCTACCTCCAGCTTGAGGGGATCTGGTGCCCTCTTCAGTCCTCTCCAGACACATGCATGGTGTGCACAGGTCAGGTAAGCACAGCCCTCAGTGGGGAAAAAATAGAAATAAATCCTTTTAAAAATCAGTATCTATTGTCAGAAAGAAAATATAGCATGGAGCACATGAAGGAAAACTCACATTACTCGAAGGAAGGTAAATTTATACAGTCACTGTAAAAAATAATATAGAAGATTCTCAAAGAGTTACAAATAGAACTCGCACCTGATCCATCCGTCCCACTCTTGAGTAGAGATCAAAAGAAGGAAATAAACTCAGCAGCTGCAAGAGACATTCACACCCCCACCTTTCATTCCAGCATCACTTCCATAGCTGTGATATGGGCCCCGCCCACAGACGAACGGACAAAGCACATGGAGAGTGAGGCTCACACACAGTGAACCATGTACTACAATATGGATGCACACGGAGAATAACAAGTGCAATAAGCTAAAGACAGAAAGGCAAACGCTGGGGCAGGGGGATGGCTCAGAGCCTGAGAGCTGCTACGGCCTTTCCAGAGGACAGAGTTCAGTCTCCAGACAGCTCACAGTGCCTGTAACTCCAGCTCCAGAGGATCCTATACCTCAGGCCTCTGAGAACACCTGTACTCATGAACACATAACCCTATATGCATAGTATAGGTACATAGGTAGTAATAATGGTCTCGTGCTTCTGCCGCCCTCCTTTGGAATAATGGCCAAAGCGGGGAGCCTGAGGAAGCATGAGATCTCGGACTATATCTGAGAGCATCCTCAGGGAGCACTTTCCTTCTCTTCTCATGACACTCAGAGTAGGTACAGATCTGAGACAGTCACGGAGCTCAACAAGTAGCTGCCCTCCAAGGCGACCCTCGGAGGCACTTGCAGGTCCCAAGGTCAAGTCTGAACCTCAGGGAAAGCCTCCCTTCAGACTGCACACATGACCTCTCCTTACTGAAGCTTGGTCCTCTGCTCCAGTCCCTGTGTCCCCGAGAGAAAGCAGGAGCAGAAAGCGACACGCAGAGAGACAGATCATGCAGAGAGCTCGAGGTGTGGAGACAGACAGACAGACAGACAGACACACACCCCAATATCCATTCATCCCACACACTCTCCACATCCACACCCGCCTGCTGTCCCCCGCCTTACTCGGTGGAGACCTACGCCAACCAGTGACTTCTTATTCCCTCCTGACCATCCACGGCGGCTCGGCCTGAACACCAGAAGTTGTTGTTTACTTCCGACCCTGCGCTACCTGGGAAATATAGTCCCCCTGGCTCAAACTACAGCAAGTTTAGTGCTCCAGGGTTCGGGCATATCCCAGCATGCAGCCTGGGGCAGCCCATCTAGGACCAGCGCCCAGTGCTTTGTGGGAGTTCCCACGGAGAGACCGCCTTAAAGGGGAGGAGCCTTCTGTGTACTTCCGGGTTCTGCCGGTCACTGGTTTTCCCTCCTGTGGAGCGGACAGGCGAGCTGAGTTTTAACTTCAGACTAGGATGTAAAATTAGATCGAGATGTAACTGACTTGATTACGCTCTGCCACTGCAGGATTCCACCTCGCTGCGCTCTGATCGGGACTTTGTCAGTGTTCTGGATTTTTCTTTCTTTAAAGAGGTACACTTACAGCTTCCCAGAAGCAGAGGAATCCGTTCTGATGAACTGAACTAAACGGTTAGGAGCTTCTTAGAAGGGCTTTTGTGATTGTTACACAAAAGGCCTTTTAGCAAGTCAATTCCCGCATACCCAAATCGCCCATCAGAGCTACGAGTTATCTTAACCAACCATAACGTAAGTAAGAATCATAAGAATTCCAGGTTTGCCAGGAATGTCTTACGGCTGAAGTCATCCTAAGGCTCTGAAATTCCCAATAGAAAGGAACCCCGTAAAACTCAAATAACAACCACTGAACATTTACAACAGATATGCTACAAGGCTCCGTTCCAGAGTTAATGCCAGGGGCGGTGGATCTAAATCCTGCTACAGGACTATGATAAATTTGAAAAGACTGAACTAAGGAATTGGTTGGTTTTAAGCTAGGTCATTTAGAGCAGGGAGTTTAAAGAGCCAGATGTTCTGGAACCTTCCAGGAGTCAGTGTCCCCGTTTTGTGTGTAGGGCTGTGTGTATTCACTTGCCTATCAGAAGACAGCTTGTGGAAGTCTGAGTTTTTTTTTTTTCGAGACAGGGTTTCTCTGTGTAGCCCAGGCTGTCCTGGAACTCACTCTGTAGACCAGGCTGGCCTCGAACTCAGAAATCCACCTGCCTCTGCCTCCCAAGTCCTGGGATTAAAGGCGTGCGCCACCACCACCCGGCTAAGTCTGAGCTTTTAAAGTCACTGTAGACACCAGCTTCTAACATCTCGTTCCCCAGCCTTCAGCCTCCATTCCTCTCAAATGTCACACCAAGTCTTCAGTATGGGCTTGCCCCGCTGAGGAAGCTGTAGAACATGTCCAGTTACAACGGCAGCATTGTGTTCCCTGGTCTGCTCATGACACCTTGTGAAGACCCCTCTCTTTTGCGCTCAGATTTCACACACTTGGCTGGACCACAGGGTGTCTACAGAGCCAGGTCTGTGGGGAAACCGTGCATCTGAAAACTGCTACACAGACGGTGCTGTGGCCACAAACGCTCTGGCTGCTACAGAAAGGACCTCACGGAAGTCTGATTCCCACTAAACCCACAGAAGCACCTGAGCTGGAGATGAACTGTAGCCATAATGTATTTGTGCCCTTTGTAAAGGTTATCCTTGGGGTTTTCTTTTTTTTTTCTTTTTTCTTTTTTCTTTTTTTTTTTTGGTGTTTTTCGAGACAGGGTTTCTCTGTGTAGCCCTGGCTGTCCTGGAACTCACTCTGTAGACCAGGCTGGCCTCGAACTTAGAAATCCACCTGCCTCTGCTTCCCAAGTGCTGGGATTAAAGGCGTGCGCCACCACTGCCCAGCGATCCTTGGGGTTTTCAAACGCTGATTTCTCTGCCCTCACATCTTGTTTCAACCCGAACATGACATTGTAATACTTAGAAAAAAAAAGAAATCTCCTGTCTAAGTTCTATAAACAATTCTTTCCATTTATTCCCTGACCTGTCAATAAATGCTGATCACCCAAAGGCTGGGCAGAAGAGAGAAGAGAGCAGGATGTCCACTAGTCAGGGGAAGGAGTGAGAGAGGGAAGAAGTTTAAGATCACCAGGAGGTGGAAAGGGTCTGAAAAAATACCATGAGAGAAAAAAATCTGAATTCCAAAGAGTCAAATCGATACTAATATGCAAGTATCATGGGATGAAGCAGGGAGTTAGCCAGATTAATAGATCAATAACTGCCCAGTGTTGAGGTGCAGCTTGGTTTCTCTGTGTGGTTACTGGGGACTAACAAAGGTAAAGAAGTACAGCCACCAGATTACTTCACATTTTAATAGAAATACATTTATACTAAAAATAGTTCATTTTGTAATGACGAAGGCATGAGGCTCAACAGACCAAAATGGAGTCCCTCATTCCATGTGACAATGCCATGTTATGTCTCTCCTCCAGGAAATTTGTTTTCCTAGACTCCTTCCCTGAAACTCATAGCTCATTCTCAGTCTGGGCCCCAGGATAGCAGACTGTCTCCTTCCCACCTGGTGTCCAGGAAGCAGAAACCCAACTACAGCACACATTGTAGATTACCTGACAATCACATGACATAGGACATCTCCCTGTAATAGATATAAGAAGGGACTGTCGCAGTGCTGGGCAGTGGTGACACAAGCCTTAAGCCCTGTACTCAGGAGGCAGCATCAAGCTGATCTCTGAGTTCGAGGCCAGCCTGGTCTACAGAGTGAGTTCCAGGCCAGCCTGATCTACAGAGTGAGTTTCAACTGCCAAGGCTACCCAGAGAAACCCTGTCTTGAAAAAAATCAACCAAAGAAACAAAACAAAGAAGTTTCCTTTAATCTGCCCAGTGGGCCTGATTCTCCTGCAGCCTCGGCCACACTCTGGCCTATCCATGGATTTAATAACCCTTCTAATAAACTTTTTGGGTTGTTTTTAGAGATAAGAGTTTCTCAGCATAGCCCTGGCTATCCTGGACCTCACTTTGAACTCCAGGCTGACTTTGAGCTCACACAGACCAAACTTCCTCTACCTCCCAAGCGTTGGGATTAAAGACATTACGTCACCACTCCCCTGCACAATAAACCTATTTTTAAAAGACAATCCACTTCAGTGTTCCCTAGAACAGCAAACCAGCAACTTTTCAATAATGACATTATCAGGACAAGAGAGATGGCTCAGCAGCTGAAAGCACTTGTTGATCTTCCAGCAGACCTGAGGAGGACCCCAAGTCAAATCCCAAGACTTATGTTGGGTAACTTACACCATGTACCTCCAGCTCCAGGCGCCTGACACTCTCTGGGCTTCCAAGTATAGCCTCGCTTACATGGCTAGCGCTCACATGGAGGGGTGTGGGAGCTGACACAGATAAAAATTAAACATGTTGTAAAAATCAAATTTCCTAAAATCCTGGTCTAGAGTATTCCCCCACCCTAACCCCACCTCATGAGATACCTCATGGTGGAGGGGAAGCACCATCCACACCAGCCACATGTCACACGGTGGGCCTGGGCACTCTGCTCCCCTGCTGCTGGTCTCTGAAGGGAGGTCCCTGATTAGAGTGCCAGATTTGACCATTTTGTCCTGGGATGTCATAGAAACTTCTTTATATATTTAATGAAAGTAAAACATACTTACACGCAGTGAGCATTTTTAAATTAAACATTTCGCCGGGCAGTGGTGGCGCACGCCTTTAATCCCAGCACTTGGGAGGCAGAGACAGGCGGATTTCTGAGTTTGAGGCCAGCCTGGTCTACAGGGTGAGTTCCAGGACAGCCAGGGCTACACAGAGAAACCCTGTCTCGAAAAACCAAAATAATAATAATTAATTAAACATTTTACACGTTGAATGGATGAATCAGCTTTCTCCTTACTTGTGAAGGTTCACTTGGTCTGGGGGAATCAGACACACCCCTGGGCTGCTAAGGAGAGGGCTTCCCTGGGCAGAACTGAGGCCTCTGGCCAAGAGCCAGCACTGTCATCCAGGTGTGGGAATGAGACCCTCTTATGTAATCCTTTAGAGCCAGTCAAGCTCTCTGATGACTGGAGATCTGGACAGCGTCTTTGAAACAGAATCACCAGATAATCTGCTCGTGAATACTTGACCCATTTAAAATGCTTGGGACAAATGTTTACTACTTAGAGCAATGAGATTTTTTTACTTTTTAAAATCTAGAAATCTGCTGTTGCGTATGATGGCCACCAGGTGGCAACAGGAGTCCAAGGATAAAAGCAACGAGAAGGGTTTATTGTCAGTTGTCCACCACCCATATCATCAGAAAGACAGAGGTGGGGGGAGAAAAGGACAATATGAGGGAGATTGTCACGGTTGGTGTTTGTCCGCCTCCCGCCGCCCCCACACGGAAGGGAGAAGGAAGAAGAAGGGATTAGGGATGATCAAGGTTTTGTTTTTCATTGTTTCTAGGACTAGAGAGTGGACTCCGCTAGGAAGTTCCTTTGTAAGTTCAACAGGTGTATCTTGGGGAAAATGAAACAAATTAAAAACCAACAAACAAGATAGCTCTGCCAGTATTAAAGCAATATAAACAGGAAGTAAGACGTCTAAGTAGAAAAAGGTGTTGCAGCCAGGCTGACAGCTTAAGTTCCATCCCTGGCATCACATGGAGGAGAAAGCACAACCCAGGAAGTTGTCCTCTGATCACCACACATGGGATGAGGAATATGGAATGGAAGCATGTTCACGTGTATACACATGCACACGCACACGAACACACACATACTTGTATCTTTTCTTTTCTTTTCTTTTTTTTTTTTGGTTTTTCGAGACAGGGTCTCTGTGTAGCCCTGGTTGTCCTGAAACTCACTGTAGATCAGGATGGCCTCGAACTCAGAAATCCGCCTGCCTCTGCCTCCCAGGTGCTGGGATTAAAGGCGTGTACCACCACCGCCCCGCTACATAATTGTTTCTAAACAAAGGAGCCAGAACACACCCACCGGTAGTCTCAGTACTCAGAAGAATGAGGCAAGAGAATCAGGAGTTGGAGGCAAGCCTGGGCTAAGTAGACTCCATCTCTTAAAAACTTCAAAGAATAATAACAATGATATAAAAAACAAATTTAAAGTAAAAATACATAGAAACATGAAGAACCCTATGAAAAATAAGCAAGATAGTCGGGCAGTGATGGTGCACGCCCTTTATCCCAACAATCAGGAGACAGAGGCAGGCACAGCCCTGAGTTTGAGGCCACCCTAGTCTACAGAGTGAGTTCCAGGACAGCCAGGGAAACACAGTGAGGCACA